GCTGTAAACTAACTCACTACAGAGAACAGAGAGTGTGCACTGCAGTAAGCTGAACAGCACTGGGTTGTTTTTCATATTTATATTATGTTATGACCTGCTCATTTATTGGATGTTGACTTGCATCACTGTATTTTTAATCAATTTATGTCATTAAGCAAATGATGCAACGTAAGCAGACCATAACTTTTAAACAGTGCACACATCCTGGAGCCAAGCCTGCTCAAGTAACAGAAGAACTTTGCTAGAATGTTCTAATTAGGTTACGGAGCATTACTTTGGAGTTCACCCTTGGTTCTCAGAACGTTAGGTGAGAACGTTATGCTAGAACGTTCTTTGAACATTCCTTTAATGTTTTTATTTTCTTCCAAGATAGTTAACAGTAACCCCTGCAGTCTTGTAAAACAAAATGTCTAATTTCACTGCAGTGACGGTAGCTAAAAAACTGAAGTGACATTACTGACCTACTGAGATATAAATCAACAGTTTAAATCAGTTTTTCAGTGTTTTGTTACCTCAGTCGCAGCATTGAAATTGGACACTTTTTTAAATGTTACAGCTAACAATTTTGGAAAAGAACAACACAAACATTCTGCTTAAGGCCATAATTTCTAGACCAGGGGTTCTCAAACTTTTTGGGTCTGGGGACCCCTTACAAGTGTGAAAAATTTCCAGGGACCCCCTAATAAACCCCATGCTGTTTTAGAAATAATTTACTGTCATTTTAACCCCTAAATATTATGAGATTATGTTTTTGTTTGGTTTAGTATGTTTGTTTTACTAGTGCATTGTTCCTCATGTTCATTTTTCAAATAAAATCCAAAATAACCATTTATTGAACATTTTTGAGGACCCCCAAGATAGGGCTCGTGGACCCCTCGCGGTCCTGGGACCCCAGTTTGAGAACCTCGGTTCTAGACTGATTGAATGAACAATTGCAATTGTAAACAATTCAATGGAACTATTGGCCTGATTTGAAATGCAGAAATAGTTACCATTAATATTTAAATAAATGATTACTAGAATGGCAAATTCCTATTAACTTTCTTAACTCTTAACATTACTCATTTTACCCACGTACAAAAATATCATTTAATCAAGAGCCAAACGATAAACACTGATCCAGTGTGTCAAAAATTCCAACACTYATCATATTGTGACATCTTGGTTCAAAACAGCATTCAAAATTCTTTACTTCAACATTTATGTAACTAAACAGGCCCTGATGGGACTATTTAGACTGCACAACCTTGCATCTCTTCACTAAAGATACAAACTATAATTGAACAATGCTGCTAGTCAGAAATTGTACATAATTTCTACAACAGTTACAAACTCATTAATGTCAATTCTTAACAATAACACTGTGATATGTTTGAGATTGCTGATTGTTCACCTGGAAATTCAACCTCCAAAATGCAGGAGGGCAAGAGTGAGGTTTAAATGTCTTTTCACCTTCACAATATAGGGTTCACCTCGAGTGAGAAAACAAGATTTTCTGCCTCTAAAGCAGGCCTCGGACGGGCCTGGAAAGAAGCGGACCGGAGAAATAACGTATGTTTTACCGATGGAGGTGAGCAGACTTACTGAGTCTTCCTGACCGATCAGAGGTGGACCARTYTCGATACTCAGAGGGTGTCTAAGAAGTCATCAAAAGGTAAAAAGGCTGAGATGTTTATGGTGAYAGGTCCRGCAGAAGCTGGGTTGAGAAAGAAGTGCAGGTCCGGTTGTCTCTCATACTTAGTAAAAGTAAACAGTAGAAAAACTAATCTTACTGTTTCCTCCTTTTGTTTGTTACTATTTGCCTTGTTAGAATCTAAGTTTAATTAGCCATTAAATGTCTGGTTTATTTAACATCAGAACTGACAATTTCTTGTTCTATCATAAGTATTTTGAGTTGATATAGACTGAATTCGGATGCGGATTTATATCTTATTAATTGTAAAACTTGTTATAGGAAGCTGATGACCCACAATTAAGTTGTTAACTCATGATTTGTTTAATTTATGTAAATAAACGATKGYGTATTGTTAATGGATCAAATTGAACTCATCTGAGTKGTTCCACTTATTGTGTGTCTGATTCACTTTGCACAGTCAAGATATTGATGAAAAATAAGAAATTCCTTGGTAAATAATTTCCTCATAACCTTGTTATGAGAGGTGTGGGAAAGCTTATATTTCTATAAGCCTACATCCTACAACAAAAACAGTCAGCTTTCCTTATGGGAGCAGTTTTGTCTTCAAATTTTGGTCTTTTCTCAAGAGTTCAGTCACAACCAGCTCCCTTGCCACATTTTGAATCATCTCAAAACTGTAGCAGAGCTGTGATGAGTAATCCATGTTTAAGAAGTAAATAAATGTCCAAACAGCATGGCTACTGCAAGGGCCACATAGTCCAGATCCTGAAGAACCACAGCGTGGCTACTGCAAGGGCCATGCAGTCCAGATCCTGAAGAACCACAGCATGGCTACTGAAAGGGCCACATTGTCCAGATCCTGAAGAACCCCAGTATGGCTACTGAAAGGGCCACATTGTCCAGATCCTGAAGAACCACAGCATGGCTATTGCAAGGGCCACGTTGTCCAGATCCTGAAGAACCACAGCATGGCTACTGCAAGGGCCACATTGTCCAGATCCTGAAGAACCACATCATGGCTACTGCAAGGGCCACATTGTCCAGATCCTGAAGAACCACAGCATGGCTACTGCAAGGGTCACACAGATCCTGAAGAACCATGGCACTCGAGACGATGCCAACATCAGAAAAGTCATGACCTGGTGTCGCTCTGGTGATGCATAAGCCCACTGAAGTATCATCTACAAGTACCTTCTACAAAACATTTAGTTTGTCCTGACCTGTATGGACTGGACTTTATATAATCTCCAGATGATATAATCTCACAGAAAGTATTTACTTTTTCACAGTGACTTTACTGACATTTAACTGAATTTGACGGAGATTTTGACAATATTCGTTCATAAAATCAACCCGAACAAAGTAGAAACAATSTGTACCATGGGTTTTTCATTTGAATCTGACAATGGACAGTTGGTTGGTTCCCACTTCCTGTAATCCAAATCCCACGTGAGACAAAATCACGTGCAGTATCGCGAGATTTAACAGTTCTCCGTTATTGCCTCATTTCTGTTGAATGTAAATAAATCCAAGAGATATCTCCTTTATTCAGCGTAGAACGCTCTTTGAACATTTCCTTAATGTTATTAATTAAGGCAAAATACTTAGTTCACTTGTGTTTAAAAAAATTACAATACCAAATCCATTCTTTTTATGTATTTAGTGAAGCATGTTTAGACTAAAAAATGTCAAAATGAAAATTACAAGAACAGCTTGCAGAGATGCATAATCACGCAATGAAGATAAATCTTTACCAAAGAAAAATGCCCATGCATGCGCAGGACCTTCACCCGATCAGATGGCAAACGGAAAATTCATTGAACATCAGGCTAACGTTAGGTTGGAAYGTTGTATCTAGGTTTGTTCAAACGTTAGTCAATAACCTTCAAAGAACGTTCTAAGAACGTTATGATTTAACAGAACCATATAAGAACAATACCAGAACAACAGTTTAACTTTCCCTGTTACTTGGGTGGAAAACCCTCTTCAGTGAGCCCCAGAGGCCTGGTCCAGTGTTTGGTTGTTTTAATATATMTTAAAGTTTTTAGACTACCTCTTCATAGAGGGATATTGTAGACTAATGAGATTCAAAAAGTGCTTCTTTTACCATCTGACAATATCTCCCAAAAATCATTGTTTTGGCCTGCCAAAAGATGTTTATCAGAGCGTTTAAATTATTGTGTCTTTTTATAGCCTACATTATCACAAATGTGAATCTGTGAATAACTGGAAAATATTAATCCTCATTATTATTAATGAATATGAATAGCTGTGTTTAAATATAGATAAAACCGAAATCATTCCTTTTATTTTTTTTATTAAGTGAAAAGAAAAATAGAAAAGAAAAATAGAAAAAGTATTCATGTTTGCTACAATAATTGGTATGTTGAAATAACTATAAGTCCACAGCCAACTAAAAATAAATATCTAACTGTGAGGCAGTCTCAGCAGCTAATCAGTAGTAAAGTAAAAGTAGAAACCAATGTTTTTATGGAGCTTTTAGCTTTTCATTTATATTTCACAAACATCTAKGGCCAGTTGTTCAAAAAATGTAATCTGGAAAAATCTATCCAAATTTGGAAATATTCTGTAGGAAAAATATGCATTGTTCAAAATGGTATGTCCAAATAAACAGGAATCTGCTGGATTTCTTCTTAAAACTTTATCTTCCAATTTTCTGACTCCAATCAGGTTCAGTCACAGAACAGCACTCAGCACACATGCCTCAGTAAGACCKTGGGCTCATATCAAGAAAACCCAAACAAAGCCGAGCAGCCCTGCTCTGAGCAGAGACTCTTCAACACACTGACRMYTTCCCTGCACTATAAAAATGAATTGAGCTTATAATGTATCTTTCTTCCTGGTTACACCCTAGGAGGTGTTACCTTTTACGTCAGATGTCAGAAAGTAACTCTAAAGAAAGAACATATGATAACACACACACACACACCAACTCTGTCAGCTTTAACCTTACAGACTGAAATGATCCGAAAATATAAAAGACAATATTGAATCTAATATTTAATTAATCAATTACAAAATTTACTTCAGTTCTTTGCTATCCAGAATCAAGGACTCTGTCTTAATTTGATGTCAGTTTTTCAAAGCAACTTCAGATTGGATCGCCCTGATCCAGAGCCCGTTTTCAAGAAGACAAAATCCAGATTGCCAGTGCTCTAAATGAGACAACATATGACAATGTGGGCTACCAGCTAAGTAAAAAGAAAACAGGTTGAAGAGCCAACATGGGCTCACTTTAAGTGTTTATTATTTTTGAAACAAAAATAAGAAACATCCACTTCCTTTTTAAATTTCTGACCCCTCATCTGAGCCACAATAAATAAATAAAAAACATACATTAACAAATACATTGTGGATATTTTGAAAACATCCTGATAAAAAAAGGTAAATGTCCAATAGTCATCATAAAAAATAAATAAATAAATAAATAAATAAATAAGGTTTATGGTTGTTGTTCATCTGAGGAAAGACCAGCATTTCCAAGCCCTGCTTTTAGGAGGTGGATCTGAAGTTCTGCTTTGGTTTGCTGCAGTTTAGTCAGCTTGATTTGTTCCTCTGCCAGTAGGATCTGTGCTTCTCTTCTTCCAGATTCTCATTTAAGAAGTGTTTCATAGGCATCATTTTTATTTGACAAAGTTTGCTTCAAGACTCTTTCTGAGCTCCTGCGATTGCTGGCTCCGCCAKTGAGGATCCAGGTTGTTCTTCATTAAAAAGGCTGTGATCCAGAATAAATGTTTCCTCTGCATTAGGAGGAACTGGATCACTTTCTTCAACATTCATAGGCTCGCCATTCCCTTTAACATCTTGAATCCCATGCAGAGCTTTAGAGTTCTCACTTCCAGTAATATAAAGAATCACATCAGTGTATTCACCTTTCTTATGACGATGTTTACAATACACCTGAGCCTCCTGAAGAACCAGACCAACCTCAGGCACATTGTCAGAATGAGGGACTGACTGGACATGTAGTAAGGGCTCCAGTTATTAGAAATTATTTTTGACAGGTTCGTCTCTGATGATTGTTGCTTTGAAATTAACATATAGTGATCAATTACAAAAAAMCTGAATATTATTTTTGTTTGTTATTAAAATCTGTTCATGGATTTCTTGTGAACAAGATCAGTTTTCTTTGACTTTTACTTTAACTATACTGAAAGGCATAATTGGTAGCCAATTTTTTATCTTCTTTATCAATTTACAAGTTAAACAAGTGAAGTGTACTATAAAGTATATATACACTAAATAATCTAAATGTATTATTTGGCAATTTTTTTCCCATATTTTCTTCCTGAATTCCACCTTGTAATCCTACCTCACGTGAGGATCAGGATAATCCTGTTTTATGGAACAAACTTATCCAAATCCTGCTGAAAAGTTTTGAACATAATAAATAGATAAAGTACTGAGAAAACATAGCATGCATATTATCCATTTACAATGGATTATTTAGAACTGATAATAATATAAAACCATCACCAATTTGTAACTGTACTGTTTAGTTTTTTTCTTTTGCAAAGCCTCTTGACAGCATTTATCACTTCTTCTGTTTTTAAAGAGTATATAATAGGATTAAGCATCGCTGGAACTGTGTGGGTTAAACTGGAGTTTATGATCCGAGCATTTGGATGAATATAGGAGGTCAAAACAGCTATGTTGGTGCCCACCAGTGGTAGAAAGAAAAGAGCAACAAGAATCAGGTGAGAAGTACAAGTTTTCAGTGCTTTAAGTCGTTGATCCTTTGATGTAGTCCTGSTCAGTGAGACAGAAATACCAACATAAGTTAAAAATATCAAAACAAGAGGAAGAAAAATGACAAAGATAAGGACAACATAGATCATATTGTAACTATTAGTGAAATCATTACAGGCCAGACGATATATTGGTCCGTGATCACAGAAAAAACTTTGTATCACTAATGATCCACAGAAAGAAAGACGATTAAGAAACACAACTGAGGTTATCATGAAACTCATAAAAAACACCCAAGAAAACAGCAGCATAGCAACTACAGATTTATTAGTCACAATACTGTGGTATCTTAAAGGGAAACAAATTGCTATAAATCTGTCATATGCCATTGTCACAAGTATCCATGACTGCACAAATGTAAATAAATAAACAAAGAACATGTAGCTTAAACAAGCTTCATACGCAATATATCTCCTGTCAAATAAAAATGTGTCCAACAATTTAGGGATGAGAGCAGTGCTCCCACACAAATCTGTGAAAGCCAGATTCGATACAATTAAGTATTTGGGAGTATGAAGAGTTTTCACAAGGTAAATAAGAGACAGGAGAAAACCATTTCCAAGCAGAGTTATGATGTAAACAAAGCACAAAAATATAAAAAAGTACTTAGCATGAGGAAGGTTGGTAAACCCACTGATGTAGAATTTTTCAGGACGAACAAATGTGGAGTTCAACACGGTGGTACTTTTTCCTCCTGAGTACATTACTATTATCTGTTTGACTAAATATAAAAAACCAATCACAAAATCAACAACACAACAAAAGATGATGCAGCTGTTTGACAGAAGTAGCTATAAACTAACTCACTACAGAGAACAGAGAGCGTGCACTGCTGTAAGCTGAACAGCACTGGGTTGTTTTTTATATTTATATGTTATGACCTGCTCATGTATTGGATGTTGACTTGCATCACTCTATTTTTTAATTAGTTGATGTCATTAAGCATATGATTTAAGCAGACCATAACTTTTAAAGAACACACAAGGGAGAACTGTCGGCCTTGTTTACTATGATACAGTAAGTGAGGTCTGAACAGCTTTTTTTTAATATGACTGATTAACCCAAATGATACATTTCTGTAAAATACTACCAAGGGTTTAAGAGTTCCAAGTTGAAACTGGCATTGTACATTGGTCTGGGTGTATTGGATCAGAAAAGGTACAACTAAAAGAAACCTTACAATGACAACAAGACAAAGGGACCACAGTACCTTTGCAGGACCATCAAAGTCACATCCTGGAGCCAAACCTGGAAAACACTGGTCCTGTGTTCAGTTGTTTGAATATCTCTTAAAGTTTTTAGATTACCCCTTCGTAGGGGGATATTGTAGACTAATGAGAATCTAAACATGTTTTTTTTATTGTCAGACAATATCCCCCAAAAATCACTGTTTAAGCCTGCCAAAAGAAATTTATCCGAGTGTTTAACTTACTGTGTCTTCTTTAACCTTCTTTACCACAAATATGAAGCTGTAAATGACTGGAAGATAACTAATAGCTAAAACAGAAATTGTGKCTTTCATTTTTTTTAGTGAAAAGAAAAATAGAAAAATTAATCATATTTACCACAATAATTTGTAATTTGAAATAACTATAAGTCCAAAGCCAACTGAAAATAAAAATAGCGAGGCAATCTGAGCGGCTAATCTGAATTTAATCAGTACAAGCGTCTGCACTAATAAAGCTACATTCACACCGAATGCATTTTGAGCTGCAGGTGCAGGTTTACATGGAAAGTCTATGGTGGATGCACCTCTAGGGGTCTTGCRGCGCGTCAAGTCCATTTAGCGTGGCGCGCAAGGAAGCAGAAGATTGAAGTAGAGCATTTTCTATGCATGCAGCAGGCGAAAGCAGCTGACAGTCGAGTTCAAAAATCTGAACTTTTGCTGCTCGACGCACTGCAACAACCAATCAATCAAGGAGAAACTAAYTGAACAAACCCGCCTTTAAATTTTCTGGTGAATTAATTATCTGCTGTGCACAACGTTCGCTTGCTCTTTAGTAAATAAAGCATACCATTTTCTTCATTTTATCTTTATTTCATCCACCGAAGACAGACTGTAAAAAAATAAAAATAAAAAAAGACTCTCCTCCCTCTTCAGACAACCCTCTAGTCTCTGTCCCGGTCTGAATGTAGAGCGTCCAATTTGAGGCGTTGGGCGCGCTTTTGCTGCTCAAAATGCATTCGGTGTGAGCGTAGCATTAGACTTGCAACTCTTGTGAATTTTGATTTTAACTTTTAGATTGATTAGGACAAAATGCATTTTGTATGGTCAATCACTAAAAGGCTGTGTGATACCTTTCCCAAACCTAAAAGGCTTTCAGGCAATGAAATGAAAAAAAAAAAAGTGGTACGAGTAACAACATTTATTTCCAAAGAAAACAAAAATGCAGGACAAGAGAAAAAGAAACCCTCAAAATTGAACTCATTTGAAAGATAAAAGGCTGATATAACAACAGGCATCAATAGATACTAAAACAAAAACAATGACAGTGATAAAATAACACCAACAATCCTGCAAATTTTCTTTAAAAATGTAAATTAATAAAATTTTATGTTCAATTGTTGGACAACTAAGATAAGGACAGTGATGTTTCTTTAGGACAGAGGCGCAGCGACTGATGTGGGACTGAGAATGGTTGAAAAAAGTTTTAAAGATTGCTTGTTGTTTGATTTCAGGAAGCATTATTCAGTACATGCTGAAAAAGAGTCTAGAGTATTTTCCTTTACAGCAATTAACGGTTTTGTGATTTTTGTTACAGCAAAAAATAAAGAAGTGAACCCACAAGGTAAACCAGAAGCAAAGCTGAGCTGGGACAAAAATATGAAACACTGAAGCTTTACAGTTACACTTTGAGGGAAATTATAACAGAAAGCTCTCTGGTTCAACGTAAATTTCTTAGCCAAGCAGGAGCGATTTTGTACCACAGGCAAGCACCATAAATGTCAGCAAATGACACAATATTCACTTGTACAAGATAAATTATAGTGCAATTAGTAAGAGATCGGAGACTTCAGTATTTTGTAATTGCATTCAGTTTGTTTCTTTTGTAAAGTTTCTTCATAGCATTCATCATTTCCTCTGTCTTTATGGAGTAAATAATAGGATTAAGCAAAGGAGGGATTATTTGAGTTAAAGCTGCGTTTATGATTCGAGTGTTCGGATCAAGTTTGGAGGTCAAAACAGCTATATTGGTGGCCAACTGTGGCAGAAAGAAAAGAGCAACAAGAATCAGGTGAGAAGTACAAGTTTTCAGTGCTTTAAGTCGTTGCGCTCTTGATGTAATCCTGCTCAGTGCCACAGAAATACCAACATAAGTTAAAATGATCAGAACAGGAGGAATACAAAGTACAAAAATGAAGGCATGTAATGCCAAAATGAAATTTAAATATGGATCATTACAGGCTAGACCATATATAGGTCCATGATCACAGAAAGAGCTTTGTATCACTAAAGAGCCACAGAATGAAAGACGATTTATGCACCCAGCCATGACTGACACAAAAGTTGTCAAAAAAACCCATGAAAACAGCAGCATGGCAACTATAGATTTATTAGTCACAATGTTGTGATATTTTAAAGGGAAACAAATTGCTATAAATCTGTCATATGCCATTGTCACAAATGTCCATGACTGTACAAATCCAAAGACAAAAACAAAGAACATATTAATCAAACATGTGTTGTAGGCAATATATCTCCTGTCAAATAAAAATGTGTCCAACATTTGCGGGATGAGAGCAGTGCTCCCACACAAATCTGTGAAAGCCAGGTTAGACACAATTATGTATTTGGGAGTGTGAAGAGTTTTCACAAGGTAAATAACTGAAAGAAGAAAACCATTTCCAAGCAGAGTTATGATATAAACAAAGCACAAAAAGATGAAGAAGTACTTAGCATGAGGAAGATTTGAAAATCCACCTATGTAAAATTTTTCAGGACGAATAAATGTAGAGTTCAGCAGAACGACACTTTTTTCTTCAGCATACGTTACCATTATCTATTTGAATTTAAAATGCAGATCACAAAAATCAACATGTTCAACAACAAGAATGATGCAGCTGCTTGATGGATGCGATTTTATACTTACTCACTGGAGAGAACAAAAAGCATTCAGCATTTTGACAAATGTGTCGTTCAACATGATGGTATTTTTTTCAGCTTTTTGCAGTTGTTTATAGAAGTTGCTGTAAACAAACTCACTAGAGGAAACAGAAAGGAAAGCGTACAGTGCTCTGAAGTGAACAACTCTGGGTTCTTCTTTACATTTATAAGTTACTGTTGGATGTTGACATACATCCCAGTGTGATTGATTAATTGATGTATACCATTAGGAATATCATGCAACTCACAAACATCATCATACAACATCGTCTCCTTTACACAACACGAAGGAAAAACAAAAAAGTCCTGAATGTTGACTTCTTTATTTGATTACAGATCAGATCCCCCATTTAAAAATGTTGGTTCATTTTTGTTTGTAGTGAAAGTGGATGTCAATATGTTTTATACAGTTGTTTGCTTTTACTTTACAATCTATTTTCCCAAACAGCTTAAAAC